GAGCGCGCTGGTCGCTGATTGGCCACCGCGTGCGCGAGAGCCCCCCACGCGGAAACGTCTGGAATGTTCGACCAGCCATTGATTAGGCTGCACACGTGAGCAAAGCCACCACGAGTGCTCGGCGCTGCAGTGCGCGCCGGTCGGCCGTCAAACTTCTAGTGGACAGCCATAATGGCCACGTCGCGCCTCTAGCTACCGCCTGCATCTACGTCCTAGCGACAGCCTGCTATGGCACGCACGTCTGCCCGGCTTCGATTTGTCCCGTTGCAATTCACTGTCTGCACCACGCATTCGGTCGATTCTCTGCCTGCACCATGCGAGACTTGTCACTACCCTCGCGTGGACTCGGAGCCAACCAACGCACCTTCTCTCGCTGATTGGTACACTGGCGGGCACAGCCAGAACACTAGCGTAAACGATTTGCAACGACACAGGGCTGGTCGCTCTCGCGGAAACCGCCTCCGCGGCGCCGGACACATCCTCGTCCGGTGGCCAAATTTCCCCTGACGAAATGGCGTCCTGCTTCTAACAACTTGGGATATGGCCTGAAGTTGTGGCGTACTGAGCGTACACCATCACTGCTTAGCCGCTACTAACTTCACGCGTGACTCACGTCGCCGGCTTGGTCCTCTGTTTAGCGCCTCAGGTCGTGGCTCTACGCCGCTTTTACTCTCCATAACAGGGGGTCTTCGTCGTGTCAGCCACCTGCGTCCTCTCCCATTTCGGATCTTCTTGGCCCACTCACGACACCGACCCCAGGTGCGAGAGAAGGAGAGAGTGCATCAGACACAGCAGAAGCCTACTATGCATATAAACTAGTTCACTCACAAATCACCGCCCTCGAACCCACCTTGCTCTGGAGCATATGGCGGACATCGTCAAGGGCGACGGCCGAACTGTCGTGTGTTGCAGTACGCAAACTCGAGAACATGCCATATAGGTTGCCTTGTTTCTAGTAATTCTGGTGGGGTAATTCTAACATCGTAAGGAAAAAGGCGCGATGGGATACGATCCAGCTCTCTCCTGCCTACACTACGACAAGAGAATACGTACAAAGTAGGCGTATATGGTTTGGGTGTGCGACTGGACATTCACTGTGGCAGTTATCGAGCATACGCTTGCTTTCGACACATTCGCATCAGGTTGGTACATTTATGTTGGGAGGGGATTGACAAAACACGTGAGTGTTTCATTGACTGTACCAGCAGGAAGATTTAGGTTATTATTCCCCACCAATCCTATTTGACACGGAGATAGCAAGGATATGTTGCAGCCCAGACCAACTCAATGCGCATTCACTCCTTCATTTGCCGATATGGTGCAATACGTACTGGCCGCATATATCGGCTCATTTTCAAAAAATGCGGGAACTCCTCCCGGCATGACCGAGAAGAGGCAGAATTAGGAACATAAACAGCACCATTCTCCCGCATGTTTTTGTTTTCGGCCATCTTGTGTACCCCAACGGAGTCCTCGACGTGTTTTTCAAGGTCTCACTGGATTATCGAAAACTACTAGCTCAGCGTCTGCTTGCAACAGCAGAAACGACTGCCATCAGTCTACGCAAGCGGTCGTGTGCACAGAGAAGTACCCCATACAGGCTTCGCGCTTGTCGTGGCCAAAGGTCGTCTAAATGCATGCACTTCTCAGCATCTTCTCCTTAGCGCGGCTCTGCCGAACTCCCACTGTCTTCTAACACATAACCCCATATTACCCTCTATCCATCATACCACACTCCACTTGTGTGGAAAGACTAATCTTTTTTCGGTTTCGTTTAAAGTTTACATGGTTTATTCGGCCCGTTCCAATATAAATAAACTGACTTGTTGAGAATTTATAGAAAGAGATCTTATATTTGTTAACTATTCAGTTTATTTGAGAGAAACATAGGTGCTGGCCCTTTGAGCTCTCTGTTCGTTACAAGTAAGCGAATTATATCAAAAATTTGAAAATGGTAGCATCAAACAGCTACAGAAATCTTTGTTCAGATTGGCAAAGTTTTCGAAACCAGTAAGATAACCGAATTGTTCCAAGTGTTAAAAGATTGAGATTACTGAATGCGCTGTATAGTACTCAGTCTATGGATAATTTGTGCGATATCAGTTTCTGCGGGAGAAGAATTGGGCGCCAACACTAACATTTAACGGACTTGGAATAGTAATGCGAAAGCAAGCGTTACTGAAATACAGGCAGTAATATAAGATTATTAAACTGCTCAAACAAAATGCTAAGACGAGGTCGGCCAGGTGACATTATGACGTTTAGTGGTATACTGGTCCAACTTGTGCTTAAAAGCCTCGACGGATGTGGACATGACGGCATCTGCAGGCAGAGCTTTCCAAGCCTCGACCACTCTGTTTGAAAAGAAGGACTTCCGTATGTTCAGCCTGACGCCAGTCACACGTTGTTTTAAGTGGATGAACTCGGAGGTTCCTTGTGGTTGCTAAGTCAAGGAAACCAGCAGATAAGAGACGGCACTCCTGGCCTCACTTTATACGGATGTTTGTATCAGGTCGCTTCTTAGCTGTCGCTAACTCTATGGAAAAAGACCGAGATTGGATAGCCGTACTTCGTATGGTAGTGAATCCTGCCCACTAACCAATTTGGTTGCCCGCCTTTGAACTTTCTCAAGGGTGCTGAGATCTCTAGAGGTCCAAGATTTCCACGGTTGAACGGCGACCTCTAAGTGTGGCCGTACAAATGTCTGAAAGACTTTAACGAAGCAGTCCTCATCGAAGCCGGAGAAAGCTCTCATAACAAGATGAAGGACTGACATCGCCGACTTGGCTACCTTGGAGCAGTGGAGCGACGGTTTAGGTGAAGCCGTGACCAACACACCAATGTCTTTCTGGGCGTTTGCCTCCTGCAATGGTGTGTCATTTAGGTGTTAACCCTCTAGTTCAGAGTTTGGGTCCCACCAACTCGCAAACCATTGCACTTAGTCACATTAAACGACAAAAAGCAGTCCTGCGACCATTTCTTAGACCGGTTCAGGTTTGCCTGCAGGCTCTCCGTCAAATCCAGTTTGGATGACCCTCCAAAGCTTAACATTATCATCGAACATGTCGGCATCACAATTCAGTCCACTGACGCAGTCGTTGACGTATGTAATGAATAGGGTAGAGCTAAGGACGGAACCTTGAGGAACACCACTTTCAACCGCTACCTCCGCTGACTGCCTGTCATCGACGTGAACATCATGAGGACGCCTGATCAAGAAGCTTTGGACACACCCCAGGAGATTACCCCTAGTGCCTGTTCGGCTTAAGTCGTACAGGAGACGCTGATGTGGTACACTGTCGAATGCTTTCTTAAAGTCGACGTAGACTGCGTGCACTGCATTGCCGCCATCGACCACCCAGGTCCAGCGATCTAAACAATAAAGTAGGTTTGTCACGCATGATCTGCCTCTACGAAATCGCTACTTGGCATCGCACAGCAAATTTTGCTGTTCTAAAAAGCGCATTATTTCTCGATTAATTATTTTTCCATAATTTTGCAGCAAACTGAAGTAACGCTGATTGGTCTGTAGCTGTTTTCTAAGGCCTTGCTGCCGCCTTGATAAAGTGGTGTGATCCGTGCGTATTTCCAGTCGGCGGGCAAATAACCTGCTTCGAACGAAGCTTGAAAGAGCATGGACAGCAGTTTAGATAGTTCTTCAATGAACTCTTTCAACAATTTGGGCAGTATGTCATCCGGTCCAGCTGATTTGGACTCATTCAGCGCTAACAGTTCTTTGTGAACAATAACTTCGTCGAAAGAGACAAACTCATTCGTTGGCCCGTCCACGATGGCACATTCGGGAGGAACAAATGCACTTTCCTTCGTAAAAATGGACTAAAATTGCGAAATGTGCTCTGCCTTTTCTCCGTCTTCACAGAGCTCTAGGCTTTCACTAGATTTCAATGATGGGAATGGGTCTCTGTTTTGCGTGCTCCTTCTTATATAACCATAGAATAACTTTGAATTTTCTGCGGCCCGATTCAGTAGGTCTTTCTCGAATGTTCGTCGCGTCCCGAGGATTAACCTCCTAACTATGTTCCTCTGTGCTTTGTATGCATTTATGGACACATAGCTCCTATCCGAGAGTAATTTCCTTTCCTAACCTCTGCTTTTTTTTTAAAGCTTGTGCTAGCCATGGGGGTCTGCTGTTCAGATTCTTCCGTGAAATAGGACAGTGGTCTCCGAGATGAACGTGCAATAACTCACCTAATCAGTCTCAATTCTTGATTATGTCACCGGAAAAAGAGGATTCCCAGTTTATGATGTTTAGTTCAGCTTCTATTTGGGCAAGGTCACCGCGCCAAATGTTCCTTCTAACTCTGGTGGCTTTTTCGGGCAGAGAAAAAATGGAGTGCTCGCACAACAGTATGACGTGTTCGCTTCGATCTAGGGGAGGTAGACATTGCGCCTCATTAATTCTGTACAGCGATTTGGTAAAGACCAGATCCAGACAGTTTGACTGTTGCCCTTCGCGCACCCTCGTCAGAAACGGGATGTCCAAAGTGAGAAATAACCTGAGCTACATGTCCATCAAACGTCTCTCGAAAGTATGGTCTGGACCAGATGCGTAGGTTTTCCATTAAAATTTCCTCATCCATAACATTTAGTAAAAAATTAATGACGGTTCTGGTTTACAAGGTAAGCACTACTCAGGCAATCAGGAGCCTTAAATAATGCTAATGGTGCGGAGTTGATCTCTCAGAGGTTTAGCTTATGCTATGAACGCATCAAAAAGTTTATTAATTCAAAAGTCTTAATTGATTGCCGACTGTGATGAACATTTCTGCCAACAATGTGGACTACATATGTGCCTTTAAAGTGGGCCTGCATGTACAGTGGTCGTACAGCAGCCGTGTGGTGTTTGGGTGCGCATGCTGTGAATAAAGTGCGGTCTTTTGTATCGTTTCCACATTGCAAATCATCCAATAGGTGCACGTGTTTGACATTCATCTTATAACCCATAAGAGGTGTAGGGGTGTCAGAGGTGGGTTCACGTAATGGTCGTGGTGGTCGCTCACTTGCTTGCAGGTGAGACTGCGCCTAGCGTCCACTTGCTGGCACTCAACTCTCACATGTGGCTCCAAGTAGCTGGACTCTGCTCAGCGGCCGCACCCCGGGCAACCGTCTCGACCGGCGGGCTAAACCAGGTGAGGGGGCCCTGTGCGCTGTGCCGTGTGCACAGGGTTTGCGGATTCCGCTGGATGGAAGGTCGGATGGAACCTTGCGTCGGCACCGTCGTGACGTGGTTCGTCTCTGCACGCCGCTGGACAGACGGTGACGGGATGGATCTCCCCATCTACGGAGACGTCGCGACGGGGAGGCCAGATTCGCCGTTACAAGGATACCCTGAAGTCCTCCCTGAAACGCCTGCAAATCAACCCCACCAACTGGGAGGAGTTCGCACTCGATCGACCGACCTGGAGGAGGACAGTGAAGACAGGCGCTGCGATCTACGAAGCTAACCGCATCGCTGCCGTCAAAGCGAAACGTGAAGCTCGCAAATCACAACTTCGCCCAGTACGCAACGCCGCCGCACAACCGCTTCCAACGTGTCCTCGATGCCAACGGACATTCCGGGCTCGAATCGGACTTGTTGGACATCTTCGGATTAACTGCGCCTCTCGAACGGCATCAACCATCCTCCCCCTGCCCGCCTCTTCCTCCTCCTCTCCGCCGCCAAATAACTCTGACAATTCTTCTGACCCCCCACTTCCATCATCCTCCTCTTCCTCCTTCTCCTCATCCTCCTCCTCCTCCTCGCCCACTGCTCCAACGGCGGCCGCTCAGGCGCCTGTCCCGCGCACAACAACCGACACTGCCACCACCTCCCCCGACTCTAGCGATGAGGATCAGGACTATACCTGTCCTCACTGCGACCTCCCTTCACCTCACACATCGACCTGGTCGGTCACTTGCGAATCCATCGCACAGAGACTGGCGAACCAGCGCGTGAAGCACCAACCTACACCCACTGCACTCGCCTCCACTGCCCACACTGCCCTCGCACCTTCACGCATCGCATGGGCCTTTTCGGCTACATGCGCATCCACGAGAGCGGCCTTGACCGCACTCCCGACACACCCACCACATCCAACACATCCACCGTGCACACCCCCACCCTCGCTCCATCCGTCCGCGCCACCACCACCGCCTCCTCTGTAGCTGACACTGACACCGCCGACTTCTCATGCCCACACTGTCCACGCACATTCACCTCACGCATCGGCCTGGTCGGTCACTTGCGAATCCATTGCACAGAGACTGGCGAACCAGTGCCTGGAGCACCAACCTACACCCACCGCACTCGCCTCCACTGCCCACACTGCCCTCGCACTTTCAGGCATCGCATGGGTCTCTTCGGCCACATGCGCATCCACGACGCCTTGCGGTAGACAACCGCCAGTCACACCACACATTCACTCACTCCCAACCTCCTCCACCACCACCACCACCACCACCACCATCATCCCACCAGAAATCAACATTCACACCCTCATGCACCCAACTGCCACCTCTCACGCAAGTGGGACGTGTGCGTCTCGACTCGGTCCCCATGCGGCTTCGGCTGCACGGGTGACTTGAGTCCGAGACTATCCCGAAACGTCAAGCGTCGTGGATGGGAAGGTTGCTGATTGACGCCCGCTCTCGGTTCACGCAGTTCCTCACGTTGTGTGTGTGTATGTGTGTGTGTGTGTGTTGTGTGGAGTAGCGGACTGGTGGGCTGGGGACGGGCTGAACAGCACCTTCCACGGCCCTCTCACGCAAGTGAGAGACACGCCGTTCAACCCCCGTTGTGTGAAATCCTGGTGTTGTGTGTATAGGGGGCCAGGTCGTGCCGTAGCGCGCGCAGTCATGGTCAGTCGACCATGACAGCCACCGCGTCCACCTCCCACTCTAGTCTGCTGACCGGCTCGGACAGCGGCTGGGGTGTGGGAGTGGGAAGGGAGAGTGAGGTCGACGACTGAGCGCACTTTCTCCTCACTATAAACAGTCTGACGCGCTTGAAGCTATCACGGTGCGCTAAAAGCCGCGGCTTGGAAGGTTGCCAACTGACGGGGTACCTTGGACCTCCTCCTTGACTGGAGGCGGTCTGAGAGTCAGGCTGCAATGGCTCCTTTTTAATGTGACCCTTATGGCACTCCCATCACAGTGTTGGATCCGAGCCAGGCGTTGGCGGCACGCCCAGGTGCGGCTTCGGCCGTGCCAACCTCCAAATCTCTGTTGTGATTGGTTGAAATCCTGGTCATGTGTTGTGTGGACCAGGGGGTGTGTTGGAACGCCAAGGTGAGGATCCGTCCGAGCCATCCACCTGCGGCCTCTCTCGTCTCCGGTCTTCTTGACCCTGTCTTGACACCGGGCTCGGGCGAGGGAGGAGGAGAGATTGTAGGTAGATGCTACGCAAGTCTACCGGCACTTTAAACCCCTGCGTAATTCACCGTCCCTGCTCCCACCGCTGCTGCTGCATCTGTGGGTCACACGGTGGACATCATCGAAACCGATGGTCGAACTGTCATAACCCATGACCTGGGACACCTTCCTGAAGCCGGTGATGTAAGCGGATCCCTTCTCAGCCGTGTCCGCCAACCTAGCACTTGTGTCTTCTATACTAAGTGCGCCCCCTAATGCCACCTAGATCTTCATTTCGTATCGACAGCACAAAGTTTGTTAACCTCAAACTTGCACAAATTTCTCATCTAATTTTTACAATCCAATTTTGTAACCGATATAGACTGGTAGCCTAACTCACGCAATGTCGTCAGCGAAATGTGTGTAGGTAGTATGGTGTATATTTGTTGTTGATATTTTCCGAGCCTGAGGGCCGTTTACCAATATATAATTAATTCTTAATGTATTTTATGAAAGAAAACAGGTTAGTTTTCGACAAAATTGGATGTTCTCTTATATCCGAGTAATTTCTAATGCTTTTGGATACCACACACCAAGACTTTTTGTTTATATATGTTCTGCTGTAATAGTACATTAACATGGGGTTTACGGAGTGCTGTAGGCGGGGCCCCACCTTGTAGTTGTATGGTCGCACAGCGTTCATCGATGCGTATGCATGAGCACTGAACAATCTTGCCCTGCCGAACATTTAATGTCAGCAATAACCATGCACCAATATGCGACATAGGCAACACCAAGGGGAGCCTGGTAGTGAGAAGCAACCACAGGCAGTACATGAGAGTCCCTGTAAGACGTATCGATGGTCCTCGTGCCCACTTCCTTTTTCACCTTCTCTCTACACCCATCTCTAATCTCTAGTTCCATGAAGTCGTGATTATTACGGTGGTCACACCTCGGTAACCATTTTTGACCGGCAAAATAGATCACATGGGGGTGCCTGTACACCCGATGTTCCCGAAGTGGTATCCAAACGCCCTCTCCGATCCCATACAGAGGCTCTGTGGTGAGGGCGAAATGTGATCCAGCAGGCAGCTCAGGCTAAGTTGGGTGATCTTCCCACTAAACCGAAGTCGTGATTCATAGTCGAGAACGGCGGCTGCAAAAGATAACTAGGCAGTATTATTCAGGGGTAGAATAGCCCCCTCCCCTTCACTGTGAGGGGCTAAGAAAGGTGTCCTAAATATTTCTATAAAATCACTCCTTCGACAAACTGATTGTATTCAGTGGACTTAAAATATGTAGTCGAAAAGCTGCAACAAAATTAGAGGCTCACGCCTACTTCCCTCAATAAACTGAACTGAACCGAATATGACTTTCCCACGCCCGTGCCACCCCACAAGCTGCTACAGTAATGCCACTCAATCTAGGGGTCTGTCGTGTTCGTTCCCTTTCGGCAGTCCCGTGGCTAATCGCCGAAAACGAAAACGGCTCTGATCACTTGCGAATGGATCCGTCACAAAGCAGGCATTGCGGCCGCCAGTGAGACCTGCTTTGTGCAGGATCAGCTAGAAGATGTAGGCGCTAGATGAGCCATATACTGCGGCAGACCCCAAGAGCAGAGCGACGAGAAATCGGAATGGTTTTTGCTGTCAAGAATGGCGTCGTGACACGGCTGTTCTGTCTGCCATGGGTCGTTAGTTACCGTCTCATCGCTATGAGGCTGCCATTCCACATGAATGAATTGGCCATAACCGTCGTCCAAGCAATTGTCCCCTCATTTACTAACTCATATGCCTTGACGAACAAATTCTCTGATGACTTGCACACCTTCCTGGCAGCTGTTCCGGATACGAACGACGATACAGAATATGCTGTCTGTGAGGGGATGCTCGGTAGCTATGGAATCTACCGTTGAAACAGCAATGGCCTACCCGTCTTGCAGGTCTGTATGAAACACCATCTTATATTCATCAATACCCTCTCTCTTTCAGTGCGGGGAAAGTGACGTGGGTGTACCACTGACCGTATCACTGGCATCCGACTTACCGGGTGATAGTTCTCAGGCGTGACCAGCGTAACGTGTTCATAAATAAGGCGATTGGTGCTACTGACTGCCGGGCGTGTTAGCGCCTTGGCATCTCCGAGATCGGCTTTGACCGCAATCACGCAGACTATTGCAAGTTGGGAAAATATCAAATAAGGTAAGTGCTGAATAAATTGACTCGACTTAGAACCATTTGAGTTTTGGCAGCCGTATGAACCGCAGAACGGAAGAAATGCAACCCTGTAAGAACTCATGAATGCTGAAAACCAATGGAGGAACCCGAAGACAACTATTCAGGAAACTGCGATGGAAACCCTTGGCTCTGCATACCGTTATCATCAGAATTTGCTTGATTAAGGGAATGAAAAAAACCGCGCTCTCCTCCCCAGTTTGCGTACTCTGCGCACGAACTCATAATGAACAGCAGCAACTCCAGTAAGTCCTAATACTGCCGATGTAGACGGCTGGTACAACAGAGGCCGAGAAAATTGCAGAACGATAGGCTGACTCGCAGAGGTGAAGGGATTCAGGGATATGTCGATCATGATAAGATAAAGAATTTTCTTGCGATAATAGAAAAAGCCATTTGTTTTAAAGTCAAGGAGGCTGGGCTAATGCTGTGCCGGAATAGATCAACCCTCCTGATGCCTTAGTCACCGTTCCTCGACCACTGGGTCATGAATTTTCAGGGCGTCCTAGATCATCGGTCGGCACTTCGAAGAGACCACCAATCGACCTCCTCAAGCGGACACCAAATACGACTTTGGTTGTCCGCCTTCCCTCTTTGAGACAAGTAGAGTAATGCAACAGCTGTCCAACCGAAAATCGCCGAGAACGGACGTCCTACGTGCAGGCGTCTACAAATGCGGCTAACCTCGCTAGCTTCGCTTTTTCAGGGATGTGGCAACGATGACGCCCACCCCCCACCCCAACACCTCAAGTGCGCGACCGTCATGCACACCTACAAAACACAAGCGGAACCGTAAACCATGTGCTAACCTCAGTGGCATCCTACTTAATTAGCTGAACGCTCATCTGGAGCACGGATTTCATCCAGGAGCACAATACGGACTTCAAAACCCCGCAGAACCACAGATATGATCTTCGCAGCCAGTTGACTGCTGGAAAATTGCTAGAAGATACCAACCAAACTGTGAACTACCACCGATCCGTCAAAGGCCTTTAAAACAGTTAGGCGTGATTGATACAATAGAATAATACAGAAATTCAAATGGGAAGTCACATTTGCGACGGAATGATTGTTTCCATCACGAACGACGAGGCAGTCGGGATCATCCGCGGTGACGAATGGAATTAATCAGAACGGTGTGCTCCCGCCCATACTATTCGGCCTCATATTTTCACTAATGTTGTTGTTTGCTCATCGTGAAGAGCGGCCGGATATTGACATCAGTTACCGGGAAATGTGAAAACTGTTTAACATCGTTCGCCTCAAAGCATCTTCAGGCAAGAAGAAATTCCATGCACCCACCGTAGCCTAAGTCACATTACATTTGAGTGGACGTCCTCTCGAGTACATTGTGGTTGCTAATTCAAACAAATCTCCAGAACAGTCTTAAGATAACAGTGCTGATTGCACATAGTGCAGAATGTTTGTATCGGGTCTCATCGTTGCTGTCTCTAACTCAAGGTGAAGAGGTTGCGGTTGGATGATCGTGTTTCCTACGCTTGTGATCTCTGCTCGGTTACTATCTGGGTGCAAGCTATTCGAGAATGCTGTTGTCCTCAACTGCCCAGAGTCTCGGGGCTTAAATAGTGAAGTTCAGTAGTACCCGCAGAAACGTTTACGAAACTTTGGCGAAGTGGCCTTCATCAGAGGAAGTGAAAGCCCCACTGTCACGGTACACGACTGACCTCTCGAACTTGGCTGTTTCTGGCAGTGCAGTGAGGATATAAATGAAGTCGTAAGTCACACAGTCATGTCTTTCTCAACGTCAACTCCAAACAGTGTAACGCCACTCGGACCGTATAAACTGCAGCTGGGAAGGCATGCTCCCCGTAGAACGTTGCCCATTCTTAAAATCGAACGGCGCAGATACAGACTTATTTTACAGGAGCAAGTGTAATTTGCTTTTTCTGAGGAATTTTCTTCTACTGTCAGAAGTCAGTCAACTTTTCCGAGTTCATCCATGCGGTAATACCGCATAGCTTATATAGTCCTTTACAATTGCGTCTTTTATGGAATTTCTGAAGGCCCAAAATAGTAGAGCATAGGTTATATGTCCATTGATTTAATGGGTAATGCAAATAAGTTTGTGAATACAATCTAATTTAATTTACAAAAAGTTATGCTACAATTACATTGTCAAAGCATGATATTCGGCAAGTTGGAGATTCACAGATCGGAAGGCAGGTTACACAGCTATGTGGACAAACCTTTACCGAGATGGAGGATATACGAAAAACAATGCAAGTAGCGGCAGTCCCATCACCAAAAAAACATTAGCCTACATGAGTGAGTCCAAACTTTGTTACGCTGCCATCAGTTAGTGGAGAAAATCAGTGACCATTGTCACGGCGTCGCATGTTGGAGGTTGCGCAACGCCTTTAGGATGATCGGAGGCGGCATTCGTTAGTAGTGGCGCTGGCGACCGCGAGGGCGGGTCGCTACAGCTTACAACTATGTCGACGGGTCTAGTTGCATATGAACATGTTCCTTAAAATTAAGGAATGATGGAGACTATCCGCATCCAACGACCATAAAAATTCTTTGTTGGCATCTTCTCCTTCGTCATTTGCTGCAAACGAGATTAGGGTTACTAAAGTCGAACTCCTAACTGAAAGCACCTGATGATTCGTCGTCTAAATCATTCATCGATTTTTTGCCCAGTAGATGTTTCCCACATATCATCGTGCGGGGCCCCGTGAGTTTCCACACAGTGGTAATTTGGCAGATTTAAAAGTCGAATTTGTGTAAGTATAATTTTTTATCCTTCTGTTCAATATGGCATGCACGGTTCTGCATTCCTACAGGCTCCAACCTAATAACCATCCGTTATCCATCTTTCCCTATTAAAGTAATTCGTGAAGAATTTTGCGACACCACACCCATATAGGCCTCTAACCGGCAAGTACACCGAACTACTATCACGTTGTTTGGTATCAGGCAGTGAAACCGTAAGCATGATGTTGGCTTAGCACATACCCGCAAATTATCAGAGAAAGTCTTCAGGCCTAAAGGAAGTCCGGTATGAACTTAATGTCAACTTTATAGACATTGTAGTCGACAGTCATCTTTGTGATGTCCGGTGACATTATTCAGTGTTTTCTGTGGTGTGGTCATTCATCATCGTGATGAGCGGTTCCGGAAATGCTGACCTTAAAGTTTAACAGATTACAATCCGCGAAATCGCGCACATTCAGACGGCCACTTCCATTTATGGCTCACTGGATCATGTGACCTCTCGGCTAAAGCGGCAAACGCTACTTGCACTAAGGATATTTGAAATTGCTTCCCACTTTATAAAAATAACCGAGGTGACTGTATCGTGTTCTCGGACGTGAATAAACAATGCAAACACGCGTTCTGACTTTGTCAAAGTTCATTGCCGCTTAAGGAGGGATTTGGAGTTCTGCAACCAGTGATGACCTCCTACATGTTCTTCAGTTTTATCATTGCAACCACGACTTAGCATGATGATTGTTTCTCCCCAATACGATCCTACTATCTTCAGCAACGACAAAACATATGATTTTTGGAATAGTATACTATCCAATATTTAGGGTAATAGGCAATGCGATTGGCGACCCTATTGAAAACGGTACATACAATGTTCATTGTAAACACACATTTACCAAAATTTCCCGGTAACATATACGCCAACTGAGAAACTTTCTACAGTGTGGAACTGCGGAGATTACGACAGAAGGTCCTTTCTATGTACATTCGCGATTATGAGTGCTATTATGTACAATCGGTAGACAACATAGTCATTTGTGCAATTTGCGGGATTAATCCAATCTACCTGTTTATAATGCGGCGACACTCACAGATAACAGCGTATGCTAACTCCCATTCGAATCTTTTGAATTTCGCCTCAGTTATCTGTTTTTAGCCACATATTTCCCCCCAGTGACTTTCTATTTACTGCTTTGCACACATTTTTCTCGTGCTTGGGATTAGTACCTTGTCTGTCTTCGTCCTTTTTGTTGCTCTTCGTGGTCTTGCCACTCAGTCTTGGCCTGCACGTCATCACCTGCCTTAAAGAGTTTTTGGTGTCGACCTTTGGTTGTTGCCCAAATGCACTGGCCTGACCAGAGAGTTTCAGTTTGCAGATGGTCATCTGAATACCTATATCGAGTTTCACACCTGTGCGCACCCTTGGAAGAGCAAACAGAACTTCAGGACTTCCGAAATTTTGAGAAAAACCATTTTTTACTTGAATTTCGGAGTCCGGAATGTGTTACTGAATAAATGGTCACGGTGTTGCGTAGAGTGCGGCGCTTTTAATTAGTTCTTCGGAGCCGCGCCACCTGCGACTCATGTCATTTGGGGTATTCGGTTTCTTTAAGTTTTTGATTATATTCGAGATGCTTTGCCTCGTTTAAAAATAAAATCACAGTTGTCAGAAATACCCAAAGCGATCCTAAGGACACAAAACTGAAAGATTGCGCGATAGTTGTAGACACGCGGGTTTCTGGTCGCACGACACGTTTTCTTATAATTATAAGAAACGTGCCGGACATACATATCTTAATAAATCTCCATTCACGTATATCTTCACGATATCTATTGCTACTGAGTTCCAGCACTGGAGTACCATCTTCACCGCGAATATACTGACGAACGTCTGCCTTGCGGGTTCGTTCATTTTGCAAATCGACCAAAATAGCTTAAGCCATTTTGGATAAAATTGGTCCGTATTTGATACCTGTTTAAGTAGTGTTATATTTTTTGCATTTGTAGAGGGACAAAGTTTCCCCATAAATCAATATATAAACGCCGTTAATTTCGTTTTTTACTCTTATATTTTTCTGGTATCAGCTGCATGTCGATATCGACCAGATTTTGCGTCGATATCAACATGTCGAGATAGGTATATACGCCTGGATATCGACTTTGGCCACTTTTTCGATATACCCCCGATATCGACTTGTCAAGATTGAGCGATTTACGCGAAAGAGATCGTTTTTCTGTGCAAGGTAGATAAATATTTAAACCACATCCCTTCCTTTGAATATAATGTCCCCTATTTTACTTCTACTACCATTTCCTGCCGAAATGTAAGTTGTTTGATCGTATATTAGCCGGTTCTGAGGACTTTTAACCCAAAACCGAACCCACATAAACCGTGAAGACAAGCGAGCGGTATTTTGCGAGTTGTTTAGTAATTACATTTGGTAAATTAGTTCACGCAGAAGCGTGCTCTTAAATGTCGCTTTCCGACAAAAGAGTAGTAAAAGAGCTTGGGGAGGTGAACCTTCTCACTTTATCTGATTCTGCCAGTAGTAAATATACCAGCATTGCGAACAGCAGCGTTTCTCGGTCAATTCATGGGCAGCTGTATTTGCGAGTGCCGATTTTTTGATGTTTGGCTACTATCATGATTTCTTCAAAAATCTGATCGATGAGCACAGCCAGAACATGCAGTAAGCCAGATTCTTCGACCACTTGAGCCGTCCTTTTCTTTGGAAGGCTTCGAAGGTTATCATTCAGCGCCATAGTGCTGCAACTGTAAATTAGTAAAATCGTCGGTCGAGCTGAAATATGCTCCCCTATCAGGTCAGGAGCGGAATGCCAGCCAATGTTTCCATCTGGTTGGCGTGTCTGCGCCGTTTTGGTAATAGCGCGCCCAATGAGACTTGGGGAGGTAGCCGTTTCGAACTACTTTTTCGGCAAAACTAGTCTAGTTATTTGTCTTCCTGCTTTCAACATCTCACCAAGTCCTCACAACTGATTTTGAGTTGTCTGAGAGCATGTTTGTTCAATTCCTTTTCAAATACACTGTATCTCATCTCTACTTCTCAACACGAATCTGCTTTCCTCTAAGAATGGGGTGTTAGTACATCGGCTGCCAAATTTGATTCCAATTGTGACCCTAGTAATATCACTGTCGGTTCGGACGCACGCGCTTTTCTATCTAAATCCAATGCCAAAGCAGTTATTTTGAACCCAATATATTGTTTATCTGTCCCTTTTTACTCCCCCATATTATTATTCTGTGGTAATTACGTATATACACTGAATCCATGCGCAAATCGACCCTTCGAAGGCGGTTAATTATCCTTTTGAAGACAGTCGTATAACAGTTTATTTCAGTTTCTGCGTTTCTTTTTTAAGTTCCGTTAGTAGATGACCGATTCCATCGCGGCAATGAAGAGGCTTGAGGACACTGAGTTGGCAACGGCACCTTCCAATGTTCTTGAAATTATCTGCAAACTAGGCAAGGGCTCCTATGGAAGCGTATTCAAAGCAAGACACAGACGCACTGGCAGCATCGTTGCTGTGAAAAAGGTCGATACTTTTCCAGATTTATTATTGAATTCAGTAAAATATTTTTTAACCGCCTACCTTCCGCCTCTACATTCTGTTAATTAAAGATAATTTTGTCTCAACAGGTACCAGTGGATAGCGATCTTTCGGAAATCGTTAAGGAGATATCAATTATGCAACAGTGTGATAGTCAATACATCGTTAAATGTTATGGAAGCCTTTTTGACAATCAAGACCTATGGATTTGCATGGAGTACTGTGGTGCCGGTTCGGTCGCCGATATAATGCGCCTTCGTAATCAGACCCTCCGCGAAGAGGAAATTGGCACCATTCTAAAGTACAGCCTCCTGGGATTGGATTATTTACATCAGGTAGTTTTGCTCTTTAGTACTGATAATTTTTGGTTTTGCATGGATTTTTTTGCATTTCATGTGCTACTTCTCTCACCGATGTCCGCTTGCATGAGACCATGGACTGCTAGAACGACGACTACGAGGAAAAGCCTGCGCAGCTCGTCAAACCAAATATCTTAGTGGCTTGATCTTCCTCAGGCGGGTACCAGTTAGGCCTTTCGGTGGCATTATATGTCGCAGTACAACTGGGACAGTCTCCTTGCAGGTCACCAACTTAAGAAATGACGCGCCAATTTTATTTTTTGAGGCCTTTTCTCCTTTTTGTAGATGCGTAAAATCCACCGGGACATAAAAGCTGGAAACATTCTGCTAACAAATTCTGGAATGGCAAAATTGGCTGACTTTGGTGTCGCAGGTCAGCTGGCAGACACGCTAGCAAAGCGAAACACCGTCATTGGCACACCTTACTGGATGGCACCCGAGGTAAGATTTCCCTTTCTCCACAAATTCACTATTCTTTGTGATAAAATTAGTGGAGAACTGTACTCCTTTACAAGAGCCAAGATTTTATCCACCAGAGGTTCCAAATTCGTACCCGAGCTTATCACGAGAGATGAGAACGGGGACGTGCAGTGCTCACGAAATTGGGTTACTATTAAGTCACAAGCCTACTAGTTGGCAGGTCGCGCTTCAGTCGTCACCTTTATAGTATTAATTACGGTTGTCTGCTATTGGCGCACTACCATCATCGTCAGTTACCTTCTAGCTGTTGATTGCGTTGCTCCTAGTCGTACTGTCACTGTTTTCTTGACGTTGACCATCGAATAAAGCTTTTATTCAGTCGTTCGAGTCGACCTAATCTCGGAAGTTCACTTTTGTTTGAGTATGCCAAGGTAGTATACTTGATCTCCTCGTACTTTGTTTTTTACTCGTAAATGCCTTTACTCGCCGTACTCCTGTCTATACGACTTCGAACGCCTTGATGATGGACCTGCTCCGCCCTCATTAGATAATTAACTATCAGCAATGTCATACTTTACAAACAGAGACAAAAAGACTAGAATAGTCATGCCGACTCATTTGCTATCGTCGGCCGTTTCTACCTTAAACATAGGCTTGGACAACTTGTAATTTCCCAACAAATTCGTCGGTTTCAATTTCCCCTGTTTTACAGCTAAGCCACGGACTCACGTTTTTTTTCGGCTGCGATCAGGATAATCCAAGTTTACATAATGGTTTCCTTCTTCTGACTGGTTTGGATGCAGGGTAGACTACAGGGAGTTCCGTACTGTTTTGGAACACCAGCATACAGTCCTTGCAGGCTTTCGCTCGGCACCAAGCTATGTATAACCTGAGGGTTTACGGGGAAATGCACGGGAGGCTGGAGTGACGGTGTTTGCCTTATTTCCCATCATCTACCCGTATTATGTTCTCCAATCCCTGTAGATCATTGAAATCTACCATCAGCATAAGTTACTTTCTGCTGTTTTTGGGCTGCCCTGCTGTATAATCTCAAAACCGTCAATGTCACCAGCCTTTTCCAAACCAATCTTTTCTACATTATTACTTTTAGGTCATTCAAGAGGTCGGCTACAACTGCTCAGCCGACATTTGGTCTTTGGGCATTACTGCCATTGAGATGGCTGATGGCAAGCCCCCACTTGGCGAAGAACATCCCATGCGAGCCTTGTTTATGATCCCAAGTCAGCCGTCACCTCGATTGCGTCGAGAAGATGCGTGGTCGCCAGACTTTGTCAGTTTCGTAAACTCCTGTCTTTCGAAATTGCCCGAGGCTAGGCCCTCAGCTGCAGACTTGCTCGCGACGGACTTTGTTCGAGGTTCCCTTCCGTGTTCTGTGCTGATGTGCGTATACAGTCTTTGCCTTGGATGTGCCTTCCCACACTTTTTATTTGTTACCTACTTAAATTTAGAATACATATTATGTGGACGTATCACGGGCAAAGTAAAGGACACTGCCATAATTTATGACCCACTAGCCGTCATCATCCAGACTACAGCTGCTGGCGCACCCGAGGTTTGAACAGGAGTCTAATGAGTTCTCCAGAATTCCGTCTAACGCTATAGCCATTTGAACTACCCACCGGCTAGGGAGTTGGGCTTAAGTGCTCAATGGCCCACTACACCCAAATGCGACAGCACATGAGTTTGGGGTATCACTTGACTATAACCGACAAGTCAGAAATAACTATTACATTGTCCCTAGTTTTTTGTCGGTAAACATTTTTCAGTGTTTTCTATTTGTCGGTAGAGGATAATCCAGATGGGCTCCAGACTCAGATCTCAAAGACAAACTGGGGTTGCTGTCAGGATGGGTCGTCTAACGCCACCCCCATATGAAGATATATTTGTCGCGCAGGCTGCTTGGTCCTTAGTCTGTTATCGAAGGTTTATTGTTCTCTTAATATCTTCCTAGTCCCCTAATTGAAGAGTCGGGCAAGATCCGCGAGAAACGTCTTAGTAAATCCAGATCGTCATCGGCGGTGCGCCAATCCGGTTTAAGGCGGTCGGCGTCACCTTCCTCCGAAGTCCTTGACGTCGCGCCGGTCGATACCACCATTGATGCTGACCAAAACTCGGGAACAATGATTTCTCGTTCTGATCAAGACACAAGCCGTCGTAAATCAGGCGAAGCGCCGTGAGTTTATTTGACAAAACCGAGTCATAATTTGATATTCACTCAGAGGTTCATATGCAATAAGCACTGCTCTACTTGATTGCAGTTGGAATCGGGACGCGTCTGGCACACTCATCTCGTTGGATTCTGTTGATGAATCTAGCGGTCGCCTCCCTGCTCGCGCCAGTCGGCCATCGCGCAACGTTAACGCCGAGGGCTACTTTTCAGACAGCCAGGGAACCATGATTATCAATGAGGGCACCGACTACGAAGAGGAGGACGAGGATGTGGGTGGATCTGTGCTCATCTACGATACCAAAAGCTCTAACTCGGCTGGTCAAATTGACAATGGACTCGGTGCATCTTCGCCCGGAGAGAATACGGATACACTAACGCGCAACTTCAAACGTGCAGCAATCAGCGAAGCCAATAATTGGTACCGGTATTTTCTGATCTCATCTTCTTTGTAGACTTTGGGCTTACGATCCCATGATTTTAATCCATCACAGTCGGGCTAGTACACGTCACTAGAGATCATTAAGGTTTCTAAGAACTCTTAAACAATTCGGGTTCGTAAATAATCTTACTAGTATCCAACACAGGGCTTCGCAGCGTACAAAATCATTGTTTGTAAAGCCGGAGGTTGATGACTGTCAGCACTCATAATGAAATTGAAAGTCGTATCGAATCATAAATAATGAGCCGTTAACACTTCTACCTGCGCCTTTGAAACTGGTCCAATTGATTCCCATCCTCCTACCGCCATGCGTATGGCTCCTAGGGTCCGTTTCTTTCAAATGATTCGCCTTGCCCATCATTTGCTCCGATTTATGGGCTCGATATCACTACCAGACATGTGCTGTCAAACGAAATTCGTGAAGCATTTCGAAATATACGTTAGCATGGAAAATATTGTTCATGCGCCGTTAAAGTGCAAGCAAGCATGCAGGATCATCTAGAATAATGTCTCTCAACACGCGCCCTTTCCACCTAGCATCTTAACGCTTGGCAACATGGGTGATAGTTGATTTATCTATTGATTTTCAATCTTCACATAGTCGAAAAAATCCTAGAGATTGAAAGACTTATTTCCCGTAGTGGTTTTGCAGGGAATTTCACGTCTCCAAAGTGTTATCGTTCAAAATATGAAATATCTCAGCAGGCAACGTTTATGTAATTTACGTTTTTGGAATGCTGCCATTTTTTGCACTTTATTGTTTTTTGGCTATTTGGTACGTTCACCCTCTAAAATTCTCTTGAAAAGCGTTGAAAGAATATTAAGGTACATTCCGAACAGTGTGAACGCCTCATATACAGGAATAAGCAACTTGTTCATCTGGAATTGCACGCACACTTTAACCAACGTTTGTTATACGCTAAATTACGGACGTTTGTGCGGCCACAGTTAGCTATTCATGTGTGGAAACCTTGGACCGCTAAAGACCTAAGCATCCTTGAGAAAGTTCAAAGGCGGGCAACCAAACTCGTTAGTGGACAGGGTTCACTACCCTACGAAACACAGTTATCCAATCTGGGCCTTTTTCCTTCGAGTTACAGGCAGCTAATAGGTGACCTGATACAAACATTCCGTATCATGCGCAGTCAGAACCGCCGTCTTTTATCTGCAGACTTCTTCGAGTTAGCAATCACAACGAACCTCCGAGGTCGTCCACTTAAACTACTTTTGACTGGTAACAGGCTGGACGCACAGAAGTTCTTTTCCGACAGAGTGATCGAGGCTTGGAATGCTCTGCCTGCAGATATCGTCATGTCCACAGCCGTCGAGGCTTTTAAGCGCAAGTTGGATCAGAATACCACTAAACACGACAACGTCATCCGACCGATATCGCCCTATCGCCCCTTTATAACAAATAATTATCGTTATGATGTTACTATCTCTGTTTCAGTAGCGTTTTTAATTCACTTATTGCCCCAAATAGATGCACGCGAATGTTGGGATTCACTTCGTCTGCCTCAGATATCTGAGTTCATTCCAGTTTTCTTGAGCACAATTATGTATTGGATATTATACACTGCACTTAGTAATTTTAATGTTTTAACACCTGAATGATTCGTTTATCTGTTTGGTTTAGGAAAAAATTTCCGTAGCTGTTTGGTGTTCCTATTTTAAAATTCTTGACATACTTTGCCTGCTTGTAACAATTAGGGGGTTCAAAGGTTCAGCGCCTACGTCTCCCTCAAATAAACTGAGCTAAACTGAAAAGTATTCCCCAGTTTGAATCATTTGACACACAAAAGTCGTATTTTCCCGAAGATTGATTATACTAAATTAGGCATTTATTAGTCCTTTTTAAGAGGTATAGTTGAATTGATTTATAGGTTGGTCGTCTCCAACGGTGGGCAAGTAAAGTCAACTAAGCTCGGCATCAGAACAATCAGAGTGCAAGGGTCGATGTCTTATTATCAAATTTGTTACGGTTGCCTCTATAACAACTTAGACAAGACTCGGGCCTTACCAGAAGGCGATCCAAGCGCAAATGGCATTGGAACCTGTTTCTTCTAACATCGTCCACAAACGATGAGAGGGCCAGGTTACCAACGCGAATGTGTTTGCTGTCTCTGCCTCCTCTCTCAACTCTAATGACGATGGAAAATGGGGTTCTACAACGGCCTTTACGAAGTTTTATTCTTTATTCCTTCATATGATCTTGAGATTGTTGCAGGGGCTTGCAATGCGCGCGCCGTTAATGTTGATCGCTTTACGCACCACGTTCAAAAAAAGTTAGGCATTGGTAATCGATGTGGTAATGACGATCGCCTGCTTGGCTTTGCTGAAATCAATAAGATTGTCCTCGCTGGCACCGGATTTCGGTGACCTAAAGATTTCTAATTTGCTATTAAAATGACGGGGGATTGTATTGCCGCACAAGTTGGTTACATTTTTGTGGGTAAATACGGTCCTGTATTGTCACTCGACGAGTGTGAGTTCAAGACGAACAAGGATCATAATCCAGACCACGTTTATGAGAGCGCGACTGCGCTTGTGTCCCAAAGTGTTCATGAGAGCCACTTTGTCCCAACCCTCTTCCCAATTTATGATCCAGTGAAACAGCCGGCAGCCTTTGTCAGGATGTGATTAACGAAATTCCTTTACTGGATGATCATGATGCCCAGCTGCTACCCCACGTGGATGGGGACCGCGCCCTGTTCTGGAACGCCTTCACTGAAGCTTCGCCTATTCACTTACTTCTCAGGAGGCGCAAACTTAGATAGCGGATTTTGGCTAATATCAGTTAGCCAGCGGACGATGCGCGACGTGCTCTCATCGCCGCAGATCCAAACTTTAGAGCACTGAGTCGTTAAACAAGGTTGGTGAGAGTCGGCCAAAATAAATGCTGTCCCTATCAAGCTCCCTGAGACTGCTGCAAAAGTTTGAGTAATTATCCCCAGTCATAGGAACAATAGGGCTGGTAATTAAGACGTACTGACAGCTGGGATCTACAGGAACTGTTCTTATGTATTGCACGTTCTTCCAATAAGGTAGATAAGACGGAGTCTGGAAATTATGCTGACATCAACTTACTTGACGTCCCCATGAATAGTTCCGCGACTGTCCTCCTGAACCATCTTCACTCGGCCAACTTCGTACGAGCACAGAAAAACCAGTGCGGTCTTTCTCCTAGCAGGGGCTATGGTTACTAACTGATAGCCTTTCGACGGATCTTAGGACAGATTCACCGGAAGACGATTGCCCGTCTTCATGCCTTCGCTGCAGGGTTCTACTCCGTCCTCCGAAGTGCGGTCTGAATGTTTACGGAGGCTTGTCGTATTTCTCGAGACTCATGAACTTAACAAAAGCGTGCCATCAGCGCTCGTACAAAAGGTCGGATATGCGGTGTGGTGACCGAATACTTTGTTGTTAGTGCTGGCCATCGACATGGTTACCTTCTCTCACCGGTCTGATCTAGCTACACTGTACTCTAGGTTTCGTCTACAACACTACAAGACTGCAAGGGAGCCAGTCAGGACAGAGCCTTTTCGTTTCAGACCTTACTTGTACGGACATCGTCTCGTTTGGGAATTCTTTTTAGGAGGTGCAGTCTGCCTTGACCGAGTGCTTCTTTCACCCAACACTTTCGGACTGAAACAACTCTGGGAAAACTAAAGTGCTGCTTAAGGTTTTCACGCCGCAAATGCTCCCCCTCGTAGATGAAAGAATGTTTGAGGCAGTCGAATATCGCCGCGCGATTCAAGCAGAAAGCAATGTATGGGCCATGATCAAGGCCGTCCCGCTTTGCGGTTGCGAAATGCAGTCTTTACGAACAACTAATCTGAGGAAGACTGAGGCATCCGAAAACTAATGTCTCCAGCCTCAATTCACGGACCATGTCTTGATCGTGGAACTGCGTCGCCAATCAAGGAAACCTGTTGGTGATGCGGCAAGAGCCAGCCTTTTCAAATTACCCTGTCATGCACTCATTCAATCATTTTTCAAGCCTCTGTCCGAGCGAGTTCCATCGCCGTGGAGGCTTAAGGCAAACGTAAACGGATATTGAAGAAGGAGACACGATCGCCGGGACAAGAGCAGAAACGGGGGAGCGCAGAGGTGAACACTCTTCCCAACACCGGGGTCGATGCGTCAGATGGTCGAGCAATCATCACGCCAACATCCAACGCACGTGATGAAATTGCAGCAATTATCGACTCGAATGTCGGCCATCAAGCAATGATCACACCAAGTGCGACAATCCCGGATGAAGGGGGGAGCCGTGAACGTTCATAGGTATGCGGTAGCATGGCTACTGCATCCTATAAATACCGCAGCCCGTTGTGCAACAACCACCCGTTTCTGCTCTTTTGTCTCTGATGATGGATTCGAGTAGGAATCCGAAACGTCAGGCTAATAAAGCTCTTGTCCCGGCGATCGTGTCTCCTTCTTCAAGACTACTTCCTGGGACTCGGCTCTTTGCTTCTATTGGTAAACGGATATGGCTAAGTTCGACTTCGAGGGGATGCTTGCCCGACTGTGTTCCGTGTTCGGAAATGGAACGCCAAATGGTCAACGTTGGTAATGCCACGTGCTGGTCCGTGACACCATGGACTCCGGAGCCGATTAATTCAGTACTGATGCCAACCGTTACAAGTTCAAGCACGAGCAGGTGGGTAAGTTTCCGAACCTGCCGGGAAAAAATAACTACTAGTTTATTTATAAGTTATCAGCGCTTCATAATTGTATCCAGTCAGATTATTCCTGACTACCTAGTCAATGCGTTCGCAGTGGTCGCAGTTATTGCAGCATCCCGTTTTAAGAAAACCTGGGATTTTAGCCTGTGTTCAGTAAGTTTTCCGGTCCTATCTCATTAAGCCGCTGGCCGACTTCCTGTAGATTTTTATCAGAAATGTTCAACGTCACACACCAACCCGACCTAGTCACAGTACGGACTAGGGACCTCCCACTTTGCCTTAGAGTCCGAGGCTAGAGTCCTCAGAGGGTCACATAACGACGAACAATCGAGGCATGACTTACTGTGCACGGCAAATAAGTGGCCACACCAGTCTCCCATTTGTTCGTCATTACTACGTCTGGATGACTTACCTTTGCTTCAGGTCCGAAGATGCTGCCGCAAAGACCCCTCCACGTGGTGACGAGGATGCGGCGGCTGCCGTAGCAGCTGCACAACGAGACTGCGGCCTCGTTGGAGGGATGCCCGCGCCGCGCCCTGTAGCTGTTGGCCAACGTCCCTTCGCCCCTTTTTCGCGGGCCTTCCAGGAGGGAGGTCTACTGTGTGGCATGTCGTCGCCTGATCCCAACAACAATGCCAAGGGCTCTAAAGCGCTGGCCCTGGCTAATGAGCCTGGTGGTCTAGCCAAACTCTCCTACACGGAACTGGAACAGCTGCTGGTCAATCTGAGTCGTGATTTGGAGACAGAACTGCGTAACCTGGCTGTTCGATACCGGCACAAGCGCCAACCCCTGCTAGACGCGATCGCCGAAAAGACGGCTATGGTTGATGCCCAAGCAGTCGCGCCCTGATTGCTTAAATGCCCGCCTTCACTGGTTTTTAGAATCTAGTCCCGTCATCTGACTCATTGTATTATGACCCTCAAGGATTGGCGCTTTGTGCTTTTAACCTGTTTTTCTTCCTTAACTGCAACAATGCCAACACTTTCACCGATCTCTCTTCTCTACTTCGAACCCTTTGTATTCATCTCCCATCTTGTGAATAGTGGTACTGCGAATTTGTAGTCTTTTGAATATTTACAGCCTAAGTATATCTTCCTGAATGACCGACACTACATGTGCCTTACTTTCTAGTGTTGTGTGTGGATTTCTTCTTGTCTACGTGAGAAATGGACCGCAACTTATGCGTTCTGTGAAACTCTGCTCGCCATGAATTTGGAAACGGAATCGAGAAATTCGGTTGTGCCCGGACCGTTGATGACAGCAATGCAATTAGAGGTAGTCGTCCAGATTTCGAAATCCGTTGTCGGCCGGACAAACCTGGCGGGGAGGACTCATCTTAGCAACCCGATTACTTAGGGGAAGTTCTGTTGCTTGAGGTGAAAAGACCCATTTCGAGATGCGCCATTTCTGTTTGTAACCATTAGTGGCACTAACGTGTGCGGACGGCCATCCAAAATATGTATGCTTCTGAGGGTTGTTAGCGGCCTCATCTCCAATCTACCCAAAGATTCGGCCACTAATCTCGACACCGTCTGAGCCAACTGGCTCAAGGCAGCTTGTCGATTAAGTTTGACAATTAGCAGCAGTTAGCAATGACAGACAATTACTGAGACACTTCCCAACTTCCCGAAGGTACTCTATGGAGGGACAACGACCGGTCGTTGTGCTATAGTAAACAACTTGAAAGTTCTCAAACCACAAGCCAGGGAAGGCGGATTAGTTAGGGCAAGCTTTACTGAGACTAGGGAGCGTACAAGCGGTTTAGTAGGCGGTTGCAGTAAGTCGTCCCTTTGGGGCGTGTCAGCTGTCGAGTGTCCTGGTCCCCGGCGCGTGCGTGCGTGCGATCTGGTTCCGTCCACCCGCAGCCAACCAGCGAAGAACGCAGCCCCGATTAGCCTCGAGCCCTCGCAGTGTTGTTGCCAAGCCTAGCCCGGCCCAGGCCACCCACTGGCGTTGTGAGTGAGCGGCCGCGCTGTCGGTCGCGGGAACAGACTGCCACAGTTCTTCCTAGGTCTGTTCACTCCAGTTTACTAGCAGATGCAGACCGTTGAAACTTTTAATTCGACCGCGGTTGTGACTACGGCATTTGA